CGCGTTTATAACGTGTTTGATATTACAGGAAAACGTTGTGTTTATACTCCTCTCTATATTCCTCCTTTAGACAATCAATCGATATTAGGAAGTGTTCATCCAGTACGAGATGCTTCGCGGACCTTGTATCACGTTAAAGGGCGCATTTAATTAGCACGTACAGTGTCCTTCGATGCGTCAAAGCGTACCTTGCCTGTTTGATCACACATTTGTGGTCTCCACAACAGGTGTGGGACGTATCGACTAACGAGTTACTTGTAGGAACAGATTATCATCGCTTTAATAGCGACGTTGACATATGTACCTAATGTCAGGAAAACGCTCCAACTTGTTAAAATCATCAATTTTCAATAATTGGAAAAAAATAACTTTCCTATAATAAAACGCGAGAATTTAATTTTAATATTGTATAATTATGTGACGTTAAACCCATATCTCCGATTTTTTTTTCGTACCTTTTCTACTCGAAGCTACAAAAATTTTACAACAATTTGCAAGTTACAATCTCATTAAAAAACGTTGCACCACGACTCGACGCAAAGTGAGGAAAATTGAATCACGTGCGCGCGAGAAAAGGAAAAGATGAGAACTCATCTGCGATGAAGCACGGCACTCTGGAGCTTCGTCTGCACATGTACTATATCCGCGTGCTTTTCGCTTTCCGATAGATGCTCAGAGAGTACAAGGCGCTATGGAATGTCAGCTCAAAAGAGACAAGACAAACAGAAGGACAAGGGGGTTGTCTATACTGACAAAGCCGTCAGACGACGCCGGTATGGACTATGTACACGATTCGATCGCGGACCGGTTTGACGTACCGTTTGAATCCATTGGAGGCAGAATTTCATCCTAGATACGTGTGTCATTTTCCAGTTTTTACCGATTGCCAGGTACAATGTTATAGTGCACGCGCGAATAGAAAGAATGTTAGAAATGACAAACGAACTTGAGAAATTCTTTATCGAACTTCTCTTCGCCGATCATTCTCGCGCATAAATTCATGCGCGGTATTTGCACAAATTTTTTATATCAGAATTTTTAGAAAAATTCCCTGTTGCAATATATATACTCTGAGACAGTCTACTTCGAATTTATTTTGCAACCATGCAACCGATTAATTTAATTACGAATGAATAAATTATGTTAAGCATCTTTTTTCAATAGAAAGATGAAATGTTTTTCGAATCTTCAACGATAAATAGTAGAAATACATGAAGTGAAAATCGATATATCGTTTCATCACTTGATAATTTCTATCAATATAGAAAGCAAAGAGAAATGTATGAAGTGATTTCTATTTTCCGTCATTACGCTCGCAGAAATATGATTGTATATCTGAAGAAAGAATAAAAAAGAATTTCATTTCCTGTCGTAAACTTCAAAGAAGGAAAAATATAATATATATACTTGCGCGTATACTCGGCAAACAATTTTCTTCCGGCAACTATTAAACGTAAACAATGAGCATCATAACATTAATAACAACTCAGACATGCTTTAGTGAAACGCGAATTTTTTGTAATTTCTTTCCGCTACTTCTTTCACTTCAAGATTGTTAAAATATTTTTGTAATTTTCGGTAAATCTGAAAATGCTTCATTTTTAAAGTTAAGCACATCTTACTTTTGGCATCATTAAAAGTTAATCATATTTCGACTATTACTTCGTAATTTTTATAAGTAAAAGTATGTTTGAGTTTATTAACAATATTTAAAAAGTAACATATACATATTTTCACTGACAAATTTCGTTGAATTATATAAGCTCATGGAAAATAATCTTTCCGAATAACCCACGAAAGTTTGGTGTTATCAAATAATGAACATATACTTACGTGAAATTACGAAAATACTATTTTTCCTTCGAATAATTGGGATTCGAAGGATTTGGGGGAGAGAAAGAACAATTGGCTGCAAAAACGTTTGCATCGCAATTTTAATTGGCCTTGACGATAAACGTAGTACTCAGCGAAGTAGGTAATAACGATTAAAAGTCTAATCGGCTAAAAACTTGTTAACTTTCGCGAAATTGCCGGCATGGGATTTCATCTCACGTCGAGTGTTAGCTCGCATAATAAAAGAGTTCAGAAAACTAGAAAAGAGAAGAGGAATATATGTTCTAAGACAGTAAGAACTGAATTGAAACCAATTGACGTAGGATATCGTAACGTGACAGTGTTTGTTAAAGAAAAATTAAACATTTATTGTTACTAAGTTTGAGTGATAATTCAATTTTGTACAAATATTTGTACGTTTTAAATTTGCATAGGAAAAGAAATCGTGAATGTATAAATGTAATTTAAAAAAAAAAGATTTACTTTAAAAGAGTTATCACATCAGGAGGACAATTGCGAATTTTCTCCACTTGATATTTTTCGTTCCTATGAATTCAAGTACTATGATCTCGACAATTCGCATGCTCGAACATGATACTCCGAAATTCAAGAACATAATCCGAATCCCGGGAGCACAATTTGAGACGCAGCAGCTCGTGTTCGCCATAACGCGCAACGAAGAACGAGGACGCCCGAATTCTCGCGCCGGAATAAGATGCTTGGCACTTAGCATCTTACGCTCTGGCGTTTCTTCGGCCTGAGAGAGTCACGGGAGATATATAGGATGCATGATGGGAGACGCGCGAGAGAGGTCGAGGTTTTAGCGAACATCTGCCAGGCAGGCTGATTTCAAGCCGACGATAAAACCTCGAAATGCAGCCGAGCCCGAGATGGCTAGGGTAACCGCGCCAGAATTCATTAGTTAACTCCGCGGCTCAGCATTTTCACAGACTCATTTCGTAGCGCAATCTTGCATGCCACGTGTACGTGCGGAACTGCGTACACCAAAGAATTCAAAAAACGCAGAAAAACTACAATCACATCGGTTGCATAGAAAAAAATTTACAAATTCCTAAGGATTTTTAAAAGCGCACAGAAAATATGATTCAGCTATATGTCAAGAAATAATACCATTTTTTTATACGAAAAATTGCAATACGATAATTGACATTCGTAATATATATAATTTATATACACGGAGAAAATTTTCTACTAGAATTTACTTTGAAAATTATATGGCAATCGTGAGACAATATGATATTGGAAGACTTTTATAAGAGTATCTTTGATTAAATATTTACCACGATAAAAAAATATGAATATGTACATAGTAAAATTAATCAAACATATTTTATATCTTATTATGATACACATTAATTTTTTTTATTGTGGTAAATATTTTAATCAGAGAAATTCTTATAAAATTCTTCTAATATCATATTGTCCCACGATTACCATGATTTTCAGAGTAAATTCTAAGAGAAAATTCTCTCTACGTAATATATAAAAGAATACATATATATTATAAATAATACAGTATATTTTATATACATATATAATATATATTTAATATATATTATGTATATATATAATATATTTATTCTACATTTAAAGATTAAATTGAATGCGTTCTCGACAAAGATGCCTAATTAAAAATTAAATAAATAACGTTTGAATTTGTTGGATTTTAAAAATTCCAAGCTAAACATATTTAATTACTGCTCATGTTTTCTACTGAAAAAGTTCATTAATATGTGTAGCGAATATGAAAGAGATATTGCGCGCGAATTAATTGTTTAGAAAAATTTCACTTCGGTAGACTTTATTTCTCAAAAGCGATAAAAATAAAAAGTAATCGGGCGAACACGATTATAGCTTTCGAACTGCAAAGGGTGTATATCGACGTATAAGGGTAATGGGCATGGAATAGTTATCTCACATTTTTTCTACCCAATTTGATCGTCTAAAATAATGCATGAATAAAACTCGCTCAAAAAATGGGATAGATATATCAATACTAATTCATTGTTGGATCTGGGAAATAATTAGTTAGGGCTAATAGAATAGTTAAAATTTCATCAAACTTTGGAAATGTATCGTTAACAAAGTTAAATCAACTTTGTAAAAGAATTTTTATACGTGAAACATTATTATTACATACTCGAATATTAAAATGAAAGAGCTCTGGTAAACTCTTCAAAATACAAAAATAAATTGTAAAAACTTATTCCATAAATTTTAAATACTTTAATAAGAGAGAAAAAGTAAAGAGAGAGAGGCTTCATTATTTATTATAAAGATATATAATAAAATAATAAAATTGTTTGGAAAAATAATTTTTTCAAATTTTTAATTTTTATTGAAAAAGAAATATTTTATTTATTAGCAACTATTAATATTTTTATATCTCCTTTTTTACTGAATAGTGTAAATGTTGTATATCTTTTTCCAATAATAAAATCGAGTTAATTAATAATCGTGTTAATTAATAAAGAATAGTTACAAAATTTCATTAAGAATTTTATATAAAATTTTAAGAAACATTGTACATACCAACAGTTATGCACAAAATAAAAAGTTACGCTACGGTCGAAGGAGTCAATTGTCTTTTGCGCTATAATTAAGACTATTTAAACAATTTAAAGAGTCGCGCGCGAACAGATAGTGTCCACACGTGCAAGCTCGATTAAAGCGCCAAGGTTGACCTTTGTGCGAACTCGTACGCGATAAACTCACGTAACTACCTACGCAGTTCTAAGTAATATATACACGAGGGCGAGTACCGTCTTTAACCGTTCTATGATTCTCCCTCTCTCATTTGCGACGGTCGCAATCGGCTTCGTCGCGAGTGCAAGAGCGTAGTACATCAATATGTGAATCTCGGGAGGCGATATGCGAGTTTGGGCGCGACCGCGTGCCGAGTTTCGCGTGCGGCGCATGCGCGCGCATTCCGCTTACTTCACACCGTCTCAAGCGATACATCCGTTGGCAAAGTCTCTTTATCGCGAGAAATGACGATATACTCTCTGACCGGCGCATCTCCACTTGTAACACTCTCTGTGTCATTGCATTCGTTATCTTTCTCGCGAGCGTCGTTCCTCGCGTTTAAACGCGCGCCGGTACAAACTTTCTCTCTCTCTCTCTTACACACATACTACTCCACTTACCGTGCGCCATCTTCGTCTGGTCAACCGCGCACTCGCAGTTCCTCTCTCCGTTGTAATATCAGCCGCAGTCTCTGTTTCGCTAAACTTGTCACCTGCTCTCGCTCTCGCTCGTCTTCATCTCTCTCCGGAGTTCTCCCTCTCGCACTGATACTCTTCCGCGCGGCGCGGCGGTAGGGATAGGGACTGAATCGCGCACGGGAACACACGAACGGACGATGTGGCGGGGGAGACGGGCCGCGGTCGACTGGTGGGGGAAGCGGACAGTAGGAGCGACGACGGCCGGCGGCGGCGCTGCGGTAGTGGGGGGTCGAGCCGAGGGAGAGCGAGAGAGGCCGAGACGGGCCGAGCGAGCGAGAGAGAGAGAGTGGGGGAAGTCGACCCCTCTAACCGGGCGATGCCACTCAACTCGAATCCCCCGCTCCGTTCTCGCGGCAGTCCGACGCCGGTCGCGCAGTCAGCATGGTTGGATTTTCGCGCAGTTTTTCACCGGTCCTTCCGTGCTGAGGCTTCCGACTTGAAGGCTCCACGTCGTCTCCAGTTGCTCGCGGTCGTGCGTGGGGTCGATACGCGTCGCGCACAACCCCGGCGAAGTGTCGTACGACGTGACAACGAAGAGCGAGTAGCCCGAGCGATCCGCGACGCCAGATGCATGAACCTAACCTCGAAGCACAAAGACCCGCTTTCTCGCTTGCTGCACGAGAGACGTTTACGAGATCCCGTCGATGTTATATTACGACGCGAGTCTCTTCTCCGAATTTTCGCGGGAGTTTCCGTGATTTCTCGGAACGCGATCGATTTCATGCGACAGCGCCGGTAAACAACAGGACGGAGGGAAGGGAAACGAGAAGAAGTCTGAAGTTGACTGCGTACGTCTTTGCGTCGTAAAAATATTTCCGCAGGGCATCTCTCGTCGGTTGGTGATGTGAGTGATTGACGAAGAGTGGAGCGAGAGAGAGAGAGAGATAAGAGAAGTGACTCGTAAATGACAGTGTGTAGTGAGAGAGAAGCGATTCGAAAGGACAAAGAGAAAGGTTCCGGCGAGCCGTAAATCTTGACCACGAGAGAGGAAAGAAGAAAGAGAGTTCCTCCCATCCCTTCGTTTTCTCCGAACCGAAACCGCCGAATTCTATAGAATTTTCTTCGTGACGGTAAGTCGACGACTTTATCTCTCTCTGTGAAAATTCGACCGACGCGTTTTGTGCGCAATGTAACAGCGTATTAATCATTTTGCGTTTGTGGCGAATGTTTAAATATGCGTCAGTCCAATGAGGCAATAAAGCGTATGTATAAATAATGATTATGCACGACGGTTGTAAACGAACTGTTACATTTTTCAAACACGACGAGTGTAACAATTCAACTCGCGTAACAATTCGCGATTGTTAAGACGATTTTATCAGAATGTTAGATATGAAATTCATGATAAAAAAATAGATAATATAGATGGAGAGAGAGATAAGCCACTTCATCGATAAGTATTATCATCTGCATATTTATTGCGCACATGTGCGTAGCTGTCAAATTTTCACATATCTTATCAATTATTTTATATCGAATATATAAAACTGGATATTGAACAGATTTCGTATTGACATACGTACAATGATTCTGTTATTACTTTTCTCTATAAGAAGAAATTAAATTATGTGTATATCAAAACATACATGAGATCACGTAGACAGATTTAGATATTTTGTTTACATTGGTGGCTCGCATTTTTCTTTGCGTTTATCTTGAAAGAAAAAAAGCAATACCTACGAAACGAAATAAAAAAGCAATATTTATACACTTGTTTTTCGTAATGTGATTCTTCTGTACGAAATATTATGAATTATTACAAATAATATTTATTAATATTTGTATTATTATTAATAATAAAATTAATAATTATAATTTATTAATATATTTTTTATTATTAATGATATTATTATTTATATATAAATTATTATAATTAAATTATTGCCTATTTTTGAATGTCATTTTACATTCAGTCGAGACTTTAATCGTTCATGTCAGTATTTTCGATGTTAAAAGAGAAAGTTGATTAGTATGCAGATAACTTGCCTACGTATTTATTGCAATAATCTCGTAATTCTGATAAATTAAATACCTACCGTCACGGAAAGATGACACGTTACCATATATATGTATCATTAATTGTAAGTCGCGAAGTGCAGATTCTTAGATAATGTCGACCTCCACGTCATCGAGGTTTGCAAAAATGATGAATGTTGTAATGGGATTGTAATTCCACGAATCATTCGTGGTATTAAAGCTATTGCTATCGCGTCACTGTTATAAGTCCGTCTTCATCGCAATGAATGATTTAATTAACCATGACTTGTGCAATTAAATAATTCGGTCATATATGCGATAAACGCGTTCTTAGCCTGAAATATTCTTGCAAATGACGCATATGAGCTTGAATGAAAATTAATTCTGCAGCACAGTACATATCATGCGCATATTTCATCTCAGTTTCATTTTATGGTATTTTTAGATGCAAGAGAAATCTCTCAAACGTTCGTGAAATACTTGCAATTTATTTTTAATTATACTCATCCGTCGTAAAATATACGCGGTTAAATTGTGATCAGGATAAACGATCAAATTCTATAAGTTAAAAAAACATCAAAAAATTTATTTTTTAAATAAAAACAAGTTGCCAAAAAAATCATTCTAGGAAAACAATTTGCCACTATAGCTAAATTGCATTGAAAAAAAAATATTTATTTAAATAGTACCATTTACACATTTGTTGAAACGAATAAATATTTATCTGTTTTGAAATAGAATTTCTTATATCAAGTAGGTATTTTTCACAGCAAATTAATATTATTAGTTTTAAATAAATGATGTAAATGGTACTATTTAAATAAAGATTTATTTGAAATCAATAGTTTTTTTCAGTGTAGTTGTCTCTTTATTATAACAGTTATCACGTCTAAATTTTTGCTATGGTAACTAATATTTTTAGCTATAATTTAACTGAGAATTCTATAACAAAAATATTTTAGCTATATATGGTGACTAATTTGTTATTCCGTTCTCTGGATAATATTATCTCTCTATAATTTAAAATTAATTCCGCGTAGTAACGAAAAACAAATTATAACTTAATACGATATACATATATACTATATAAAATAAAGTTATTATAGGTACAGAATAAAAATGATATGTATATTCTTGATATAGCACGGTGCGCAAAAATATATTTGCATAAAAGGTAAGTCATATTTTGTGCCATGCAATATAATACACTCACATAACTAGGATGATTTTCATGCATTCTCATGATGGAACGAGCAATTCACTAGTGACATTTTATGTCCTTTGCTTTTCTCCAGTCGCATCTGGAAGCACCTTTTCCGCGCTGGCAAGATCGCCTTTAAATGCCGCTCGCCTTTAATGCGACGTCGTACGAACCCTCGTCAGGATCTGCACCGCGAGGGAGTAGTAAAAATTCCACGTTTGTAGAGTACTTTCTGGTGAGAGGAAAAGAGAGAGAGAGAGCGGGACAAGAGAAGGTTGAAAAAAGTTGAACAGGGGACGTTCGCGCTAAGCACATAGCAGAGAATACTCGAAGGCACTGTTTTTTAGTTAGACAAAAAATCTCGGATTCAGGCTGCAGCTTGTTTTTCTGTTTCTTCATCTGGTTTAAGTCAGACGTATGATTACGTTTCGTTTTAGCGATTTTACGAAATAGGATTAAAAATCAACGATCCGATCGGAATTCGATGCGTAAATTTAAAGACGAACATTTGCATAATGCGACTGCGCACGGAAAAAAATTAGTTACCATAATTAAACTTTAGCTATTCTTATTACTGAAATTTATTAAAATTATCATGCTTCAGCTATAATAGCTAATATTTTTTAGCTTAATAAACCGAGAATTCTCCATCAAACTATAGCTAAAAAATATTAGTTACCATAGCTAAAATTTAGGCACTAAATTTCAAGTAATATAGGGACAGCTAAAATTTAGCTACGGTAGTTAATTCTTTTTTTGTGCATGTGATTCATTAGAAATTTAATCATCAATTTACTGTTATGTTCCATTACTCGGTTTTGAAATACGAATTGATAACTATATATAGACAGAAATTTCGTAACAATATACATGTTTGCACATATAGATAAAAAAAGTATTCGCGTCACGATATTGCGATGTGTAATATTTGCATTGGCATTGTCTTGAATTATGACGAGCCTATGGTTTTATTTTACTCGATATAAATCGACATTCGGAGATTCAGTTTTCAAATACTATACAATTGTTATCATTCGATAAAGCGGAATTATTGACATTGTCAACATTGGTTATCTCGAAATCGGACGAAATTCATCTATCGTTATCTATGTATAACGATCGTTATCGAAAATTGTTTCTGCGCGAGACGAGAAACTTCAACGTTGCATCTCACGTGTCATTGACTTTGAACATACCGTGGAATCGTGGAAATTTCGAAAGCACCGATCCCATTTTCGTGGCATTTATCTTGCAACAAGTTCGCGCTAACGTCGAACGTTTCTTGCGACATGCGAGAGTTTGGATGCGAACACCCGGATAATTCGCATCGAGTTAGAGGAGGGAAACGAGACCCGTTTCTTTTTCGGGTTTTGATACAAATTACACGAGTTTGCGCATATCGTACCCTCAAGATTACTCCTTTTCACGGTCGCCTTCGGAGGCGAAAGATGCGCCGCTCTTCTTCGCGTGATGCGAAAAGTTTGAATAGCTTTCGTTACCGGGATTTTCCGGACGATGCTTTGCTACATGCAAATTCGGAGCATTTTCAGCGCGCGGGTCTTCAAAGACTTTACGTTAGATGCTGCGAGATGAGTTCGAACCCATGGGAACCTCATAACTTTGCCGGCAGCAACGTGACACGATGTTAGAATCGCTGTGTAACCTACATTGTTCGCATTAATTTAGTCCTACCTGTTTCGCGGCATGCATTAGCCACTAATCGAGCGAAACGATGGCGATGCACATCTGATCTCGGTGACCTGCATGCAACGCGATTCTTAACTGCAGTATCCGAGCATCTCGCTTATTATTATTAATGATTTACCATGTCTTCCAATGGAAGATCGTGCTCAATTAGGATTCAACATTGCTGATAAGAGTATATAATGATGCAACATTATATATATGCAATAATTATACATTGCACTTTAAGCTATCAACCAGACATACATTTTACTTAAGAATTTATACGTTCTAGAGATACATTTATAGATGAAATATTTTATATTCTCCTCTCTTTCAGATTATTAAATATAAAATGATTTTACTATTATTACGATCACAATTTTCTGACGTTATACATAGATAAAAATATAATTGTTATATTTAAATAACTATATAGAATTATTGGATTAAAATATAAAATGGGTAATAGAATATAAAATGGGTAATATACCTCTCTCTCTCAAATGCAACAACATTTCAATAGATAGATTCATTGTTAAAATAAACTTTTACTTTTCTTGAAAAGAACTTGAAATTCTATCCAAATGGTTTTAATATTTTAATATTTAAATTCTTTTAAATTGAAGAGAAAATAAGGCATGTACATAAATAACACAAAGTAAATCTTAAATTAATTTTGACTTTATTCAATAAGAATTTGAACGGAAGAAAAAGATCTCGAAAGTTAAAAATACATCACCATTAATAACTTATAAATAAGTTTTCAATAAGAAATACGCGTGACTCAAAATTCGTCTTATCTGTACTTGAAAATCTATTTGAGACACTTCAGAGGTGAGATTCTAAAGGTTAAAGCGTCGTGACGTATGTTGATCTCCCGCGAAAAAAAGCGTCATTTTTTAATTAGCCGTGAACGTGCGTCACACGAATTCAGCCCGATCGAGCAGGAACGATCGAGCAAAAGAAGTAATCATCCATTACAAATCCAATCGTTGCGTATCATTATGCCTTATTGGTCGTGATTAGCGCGTCATACGCCAAGTTAATTGGCTCCCTGTTGAGCTGCGTCCGCGCTTACATGCATCGCGTTACGTTACGTTCCGTTCGATCGCTGGATCGTCAAATCCCTGCCGCGGAGTTATCGTCGCGTCGCGCTTATCGGCTTCCGGATTCGCGCACAATAATTGAGCGTATTCCAGTTTGTGC